GCAATTTGATAACACATCTCTCTATATATATATACACTTACATATATAGTATATCTATGTGTATTTATATGTATGCGTATGTATCTTTTTTATATGTGTGCATGTATGTATTTATGTGTATATATATGTATATATATATGTGTATGTGTGTGTGTATGTTTGTGTGTGTGTGTGTGTGTGTATACAATTATATTATAATATAATACTATATGTATATTTATATATATATATATATATATATGGATATGGATATGAATATATACGAATATATATATATATCTATATATAGATATATATATATATGTACATATATATATATATGTGTGTGTGTGTGTATGCATATGTATGTATATATTCTTCAGGGTTTATTTTAAGTGGCATATCTACGTTTGAAACGACTGATATATATACCACATGTGTAAATCGTTTTAAACTGATTTTGTCAAATTTTAAATATGAATACGCTTGCACTTTTCACGTCGCCACATGTTTAGATTTACTATATCGTGAGCGACATTCTTTTGTTTAGTCCTATGTAGTGCTAGCTTTTGGACAATGATTTACGTATCGTGATGGAGATTGTTTCACTATGTGAATATATGCTCGTTTGTATATTCATAATAATATGTGAACTCATTCTTGCTCAACTGCATGTGTACCAAGAGAGACAAGCGTGCATTGTCTATACTCCATCAACCTACGAAGGAGTTTAGTTTTAAGTGTGAATGTACAACGTATAAATAAACGTAAGTGCACTTGCATAGCTATGATTTCGTGGCAGAAACACTATGCAATTCAACCTGGCAGAGCTTCGATACGTAGATCTTGCTATATGGCTCATTGTTACTATTTAATTTACCTCGCCCGTGATCAACTGCTCAGGCCCACTGGCTCGCCGGAGTTTATTCCCTTTGCTCGGTTGACTGGTCAGCACACTCGTACCACTTGCTCTTCTCAATGCTTTACTATTATTAACGTGGAGTGTGTTACTAGCCACAGGCTTGACTGTACTACTATTAATAGTCAGAGCCTGAGTGAGTTCTTTGCTTCCTCTCCTCGTTAACTCACTATCTGATCTCGATTTCGTACCCAACGCTCTGCGAAGGGAGCCCAACCTATCGGCTTTAATCGCACTTCTGGGAACCATCAGTTTGTACTCGTCGCCGTCATTCAGCATATCTAGGAACTTTTGATTCGTTATATCCAGATACACGACCAAATTCGCAATAGCCTCTTTGGTTACTTCCGATCGTTCCGACTGCTTGCAGGCAAAGTGCGCGAGGTTCGCGTACTCTGCTGCCCAGGCCTCTCGCACATCAGTCTTAAAATCATCCTCCTCCAGACATATTTGTAGTGTGCGAAGTAAAGCCCTTCCGGCCAGAATGTGTGTATGCATACTGAAATCAAGATCCTTCACTAATTTTTTATACTTCTGCTTCTTCTTGTCGATCTCATTAGTGGGTGATTCGTCATAATTTACTACGACTGATAAAAGCAATGCAATATACTCGCTCTGTAATGGTAGGTCAGGGAATAGCTCTTGTGTTTCTGGAATATGCAGGAATAGATTATCGAAGTACACACTTAAAAACTTAGACATGGGATATGTACCTTCGGGTAACTTCATCCCACGCACCAAGGCCCACGAATCGCGTACACATGGTTTGAAGTCCAAAGCTATGTTTGACGACGACAACACATGTTCAAGTTCTGATCCACGCAATTGGCTTCTGTGCCGTGAGGGTGTTTGCATACGTGTCGTTGATTTCAGCGTCGACATCGTCATTTTGCTATCCTTCACACAGGCGACCACGTGACAGATAAACTTCGCGCAGTATAGGTCTGTTCAGAATTGAATAGCAGCTGTCGGTCAATCGCCTATTTTAAAACATATATTTCAAAATATACATTTACAAGTATTGTTCTTTTGTATGTCTGTCATGTATGATACGTAGTTATTTTTTAGTCAGATAGTCAAAGAAGTATATTTTTACAAATCAGAGCCTTGTTACATATCGCCGACCAAAGTGGTATGCACCTTGCAATATGATTTTGGGCTTTTGGGCTTTTGGATCCTTTGATAAGCAGTAACTGGGCCTGGGGCCAGTGGCCGTAAGAACGATATCTATAATAAACTGGGCTGGTATAAGACAGCACTTTTCGTTCTGAAGACATGTCGCGACAGCCTGAAACTACTTTGTTAAGAAGACATGTCCGAGACATGGCGTCTTTAATAGATGTCTTTTGAAAACTGGTCAAAACCCCATTTGTCCAATAGGATTGCCGTATTCAAAATCATCCAATAAATGAGGTATATATTCAAACGAAAAAGACATCGACATACCGCGAATTGCACCTAGAAAAATCAACGAAATGCACCTCTGATAAAAGGGGTACAAATCGGGCCGAAAATTAAGAAGCGTTCCAGATTTTCTGTATCCAGATTTTTATTTAATCCCAATATTTTTTAGAACATTTCCAGATAAAGTATTTCCTAAATGACCTGCAAAGGAGCCAAGGTCGTACGTAGTACAAGCCGAACATTTTTTATACTTGAGTCTAACACTACATAGGAATCCTCCAAAACACGATTATTGCGTCTATTTATACATAATTAGTAAAAGTTTCAATGTTGTCACTTACGAATATTGTCAAAAAAAACATCGTTTATGAATTCTTAGAACCGTAATGCAAGTTACAGCTGCTAAAATCGAGAAAAGTGTGTTTACGCCATTCAATGTGCCATGCAATCGATTGCACGATGAATCTCAATTCCTAAACTTTTGGTCAAAACTCACTACATATCCACCCACAAGTGATTACAATAACATTATTTTAGTTTGATTATGCTAATATAAGTATAACGATAGTCTGAAAATACTAACGAAGGAATATTTTTGAATACGCACTCTATATGGATGTCATTGATGGGCATGCATGCACGTGAATGGTGCTTTTGAGCAAGTATAATAAGCCCTCTGTGCCACAATGATAGGTTCTGAACTAATAAAACTTGTATTTATTATATATGAGGACCCTCAGAAGGTTCAAACTGCTAATACGTGACATGGAAATCCAAGATTTGACATGGTCGAAAAGTGCACAATCCTGTTCATAAATCGATACATAACTGTATTAACCAGTAGAGCTATCAACTTGGCGCCTTTGCAAAAATATTTTGAAATGTTTCTAGAAAAAGTCTAGAAAACCAAATTAGGATTGTATCCAAAATCAGATATAGTGAATTAGGTTTGCTTCTTAAAAATCAGATCCCCTCAGTACAAGGATGGGGTGTTAAACAGGCGATGAAACTAATCAGGAAAACACTAAATATTTACAAATAATATTTTGACGTTGGCCTATAATTTGACCGACTTTAAAATTTAAAAAACTGTCAACACTCGACACTCAACCGACACAAGTTCCAGCGGACAGAACCCCCGCCAAAAACGGTACTCGCCGGAAACTCAAACAGAAAACGAAAACAAAAACTAAAAAATGCATGAAAAAAACTGGGGTCATACACAGGTTTAATATACATTCCCCGGTCCTACTGTCTTGGACTACTGCACCTGTATACAGGTCATATAGGACTGGTTGGCGTCTTTTACTTGTCGACAGAAGACACGACATCACGACACGGTCTTCAATGTCAAGACTATTTGGTTAAGAAGACTTGTCGCGACAGGACTGAAACTAGTTAGTTAAGAAGACATGTCTTTGTCGTATACCAGCCCAGATAATAAATAATATTAACAAATGGACGCAGTCTCGGAGTCTCTGGAGTCTGGACTCTGGACTCTGGACTCTGGACTCTGGACTCTGGACTCTGGAGCCTGGCGCCCGGGGCGGTTGCGGACAAAAGTCTCTCAAACTCAGAGAGAAAACTGACGACTACCGATTTCCGACTTCCGACTCCGACTCCGACTCCGATTCACAGAGTCACAGTCACAGACTCACAGACTCACAGACGCACACTCTCACATTAAGACATGTGAGAGTCTGAGAGACTGAGAACTGAAGACTCACAGTCCTCTCTCAGTTCTCGCGCAAAAAAAAAAAATCTTTTATTTTTTATAAGAAGGCTGTGGTTTGAAAACATGTTTTGCCTCAGAGTTAAAAAAACATCCACTTGAGGACTTTTAGGCATGTGAGCCTGTATATTTGAAAAGGCTATGTGTGAGCGTATTATTTTTTTAAAAGAAAAAGGTATTACTCAGTGATATACTTTACATACTATTAGTATTATTTCAATTTTTTTAAATCCAACATAATGCTGACTTTTTAAAAACAAAAAACAAATAACTTCAGGTTCGTAAATATTTATGTACTGAACTTCTAAAGTTAATTCCCTCTCGGCTCTCGGGCTCTCGGTCTCTCCCAATGGTCAATGGAGGCCCGGGAGGGTGGGATGGTGGACTCGCGTAGAGAGGGGGGACTGGGCCCACTGAGGGCTGGGGCCTAACGTCAATAAGTTAGACGTGCACGAGGTAAACGTTGTATTTTTAACGGTAACTTTTAGATAAATGAAAGTTATAACTTTTATTTGGGACAAATCAATTATCAATTTTTCAAATGTGCACTCGACAAGTTGTCCTATGAGTGAACAAATTGGGCCACGAAATGCGTAATAGCCAATCAGAATCTACAACTAATTGACTTGACATTTGGCAATACCCACATTTTGAATGTATCACTTAGTTAACCTTCGTCTCCTCGAAGTACCTGGCCCGTATTGTCATTGATGTGCAAAACAAACAACTATGAAGTATCTTTTAGACATTTCTCAAAGTATATACTACATATTCACGTACACTTTGCACATATTGCCAGCTCTGAGAGGCGTTGAAGCGCTCGAAGAAGCTTTTGAACGCGCACATAACAAAATTTATGTTGCAAGTTGTAGGCTTTTTAGGAAAGTGGCGGGGGTATTGATAAATGTGCGCCCTAAACAAACAGTACAAATATCTGACGCCAACTTGACCTGGAAAATGCACCTATAATATATCAGGCTGTACCTAGCAGTTATAACCGTTGGATTTTTATCGTTAACTTTTTGATAAATAGAAGTTATAACGTTTAACTTATTGAGGCTAGGCTGGGGCGCTGGGAAGAGCGGGACAGAGCCTCAGGTCTCAGGAGAGGTAATTGGTGAATGGTGTTTTTATTTTTTTCCTGTATCAATATTTTTTTGGGGGTTTTTTGTTTTGTATGTTTTTTTCAGTTTTTCAGAGAATGGAATGCAGCGACGAACATAAAAGTATTAATGCTCGAGTCCGTGTCCAAAACCGCATCTGGTCCATTCACAAAAGTAGGGTCGATATTTATGGGCCCAGCCGCCCCAGCGCCCCAGCCCCCCAGGTGAGGCGACCCTGGCCTAAGTACCGAACTATTACAGGTGTATACCGGTGGCCAGTGGGCAGTCGTGCACTCAAATAATAATATATTTAAAACAACGTGTACATGTGTACACATGTTGAGAACAATGTGTGATGTCTTTAAGTTATTAAAATACTTTCAAGTCCCACACAGTACATGAGGCTCAGCCTTTTGGTTCAGCCCGAGGATGGCGTCAACCTTACTGACAATTTCAAAGGGTAGTACATTGTGTTTCTGCTACTTGCACCCTCTTCATAAAATCAAAAACACCTTTCACTATTTTTAATACTGTTTTTTGTGTTCATAACACAGACCTGGGAGACGGAGACTCTATATGTCACCGTCTCTATTATTATTTATTCAATATTGACTGAAGAACAAACAACAGTCAAGAGGTATCAGTTTTCGAAACATAAACTACATCTGTAATCTGAAATAGGATGCAACGCCTCAATATTGATCTAAACTTTGAACGTTTTACGCATACGAAATGATTACAAAACGTTGCAACGCATAGGGGTAACTATTCTGACCTCAAATTATTTCACATATGAGATCCATATAGTGCACCTAACATGTGATTTCTGGCCACAAAGCTAGCGTTCAACCAATCAAACGCGACTGAAAACTGATGACCATTGTTTTTTTTGGCCGCTCACCACGACGGTTTGTGACACTTTGTGTACTAGAACTGGTCTGTCTGTAAGTCTCTAGTGAGTAGTGACCTGTGTGTACACTGTATGTCTTTACATCGTACTGAAATATGAATGAATACACACTTCTTTCAACGCATGGAGGCATAGAGGCTTAGGCATACTAGCGTGTTTATATAAGATATACTTGCTATGGAAAGTGTACTTGTTAGCAATCCGTTGCAGGTATATATACAATTATACACACAGCAACACACAACAGTAACACAGTAAACACACAACATCTAACAAACGGCCCCATAGTCATACTATTAACTATGTTTGTATGATTGCCCATACGAGGTCTGGCGGGCCTTTCTATCCGTAACCGACAGGAAAATGAGGGCGGGGCGGCGGGGTCGTGGCCCGCGGGCCCGGGCGTGGCGGTCAAATACTATGACCCAGAAATGACCCCTCGTATGAATTTTGGGACTTTTACGCATACGCAATGGTTTCGAAACGTTTCAAAGTATAACGGTATGAGGTCTGCTTCTGAATATTATTAAAAATATCATTTGAATTGCACAACTGTTATTGCACTGTATTTCAACAATGTTGAATTTTGTTGTCCCGTACTGTTTGTAAATAGCAGGTCCAAGGGATTTTGTCCTGTTCTGTGATTTCAATACATACATAACCGCAATTCCAAAAAAAAAAAAATAGAATATAAATTCAAGAAAATATCATAACTTCATATTGTTATCAATTTTATGTTCATTGGTACCGATAGCCGTATAGACACATTCATTGGAAATTGAGAAGCAATATGGATATCCGGGGGCTTGGTATTAAGAAGACTGAACAATTCACCGGTCACCCTGAACTTAAGATCTTGAGTCATGGACTCCTTGGAGGGAATTTTTTTTAAACCCGCCCTTAATGTATTGTTTGTTAAAAAACCCCAACCCTAATACAAAAGATTTGGAAAGAGAAAAATTTTATAAAAATCATCCTTATCGGGATCTTTGCCTCCAAGTTAGGAACTCCAGGTCTGCTCCGAGTCTCTGGGACATCGATGATATCAGTTATTTCTATTTATCATTTTGAGAGAGCCTCGTCCAGTCGTCCTCCAGAGTACAGGCTCCAGAATCCTACTTTGTTAGCTTTTTTAAACATATTTTTTTTAAAAGGGTCTCCAACAAGTCTCCAACTCTCCATCAGTCCACACTGACTCCACAGTTCCACACCACCCGAATTCCCAACTTCAGAACTTCAGAAACCGACAGAAGGTAATAGTTTCTTGAACTGAATTTTTTTTATGTACCCTCGGGCCTCGTGTTGAATGTTTTAAAATTATGAGTGGGCAGATATTAAAAAAAACTATATAAAAATACCAACTACTACTATGTGATTTTATTGCGATACTGATTAGATCTATACCTTTGTTTTGTTTTTTTGTTTTTGTTTTAAATACAAGTAGAAAGTATTTATTGTCCGACCTACTTACATAGTAGCAAACAAACAAAATATGAGCATACTCTCTGGCTCTATTTGTTTGTTTTTTTTATACAAATGTACCAATGAACATAAATACATTTGCCCTATGGTGCATACCTAACCTCATTACGTTTTCCATTAAATTGCAAAAAGAAAGGCGTTTACGTTCAAAGTTTATACTAGAATATAGTCTTATGGGTTTACAAATCGGTACATTTTTTGAGGCGGCCTAAACGTCACGAATTGTCATATTTTCACTTTGCGTCAGTTGTGAATATTTTTCAAATCACCTTTTCATTGGACATTAAGCGTTTCGTAGCCCTGTCAGAAAGGTCAATTTCTCAGGTGCAAACTTGGAAAATTATCACGGTCGATTTGAAAATATCGAATAAGGTAGAACGTGTTGAGCTTCGGTGCATACTGCCTAACGTCATGGCCTTCTGTTCAGTTTTTTAATAATAAAAAGGGCTATGTATAATGTATGGTGCCGTGCAAAAATCTCATTTTTAAAATTTGCACTCATCAGATATCACTCTACAGTCTACACTGTCTGCAGTCTGCACTCTGTACTCTGTAGTCTACACTCTACAGTGATCAATCTGTTACTGTATTACATAACTATTTACACTACATACACTCCAGTGACTCCACACTCTACAGTCTACACCTACACTCTACAGTTCGATTACAATAAAAGTATACACACAGCAGGAGGCCCGGGGCCGGAGGTCATGGACTTTATTAGAGGGGTGAGTCCGTGAGTCCGTGTCACAGTCACACAGGCACACCGCACACAGCACGAGCGCACGACAGCCACGACTGCAGACTTCAATACGTGCTTCATACATGCTGAAAACGTAGTACGTTTTATGTTGAGGCTTAGTTTTGAAACCGTTTTCTCGTTTCTAGGTAGTATACTGGGAGCCAATTCTAAAAAATATTTTTATTTGGATCTACTTTTACAGTAGAATATCTGCGCAACTATAAACAATTCAATAAATATTTTGGTGAATTATAGTTGGCGGGCACATACCCAGATTCCTATAACGTTGGTCCAACAAGGAGATCGCGGCAATGGCCCGGCACCAATACTACTACCAACTGGTTATGGGTAAACCGCCAACCTCAAACCGAGACACAGCCAGACACGACAGCTTCAATCGCTGCTTCGAGCCTACACGAATCCGGCTCTGTGCTATGATTGTAACGAATACGTACATGTTCACATTGCTCGACTACCGCACCGACGGCTGTCTCTGCCCTGTCTGCCCCGGTAGCCACTACCAGCCACTTTACCTGCATCCAACAACTGATTCGACGCAACCTGGTAGGCCCGAAACTACCGCCCATTGGCACCGACGTCCTTCAGCAATTGTAGGAGTGCCACGACCTCCACGGTATCTGGACCCTCCACGAACACCTTGGATCTTTTCTCCAGCATGTTGAAGAACCACCGTACCCTCACCCGTCCCTGACACATCAACAGATGTTCCCCATACCCCGGCTAATCACGCTGTTGAAGTACTACTTTCAAATATCGGTTCAACCCTAATCATCGCGCTTGTTGGTTCCGACTATGATACTTCCGATCCAGGCCAGCCAACGCATACCGAATTCATCCTTGGTCTGGTGCGGCATTGGCTTACCCCCATCCTCGTTTCTCGACCGGATTATGACGGATAACCTGGTCCTTCTCGGTATTTCGTACTCTGCACTAACCCATTCCGCGGCATTACACGGCGCAGACCCGATCCGTACCACGGAGGTGGGTACTCTACTTAGTAGGTCAGCAAGCGAATATATGAAACATTCGATAGTAACAATGTTTTGTCAACACCGACCCGAATTGACTCAGCACATATCTTCCATTGTCGACTCACTTGGCCCAAGCTTCAAACGGTAATTTACTGACCACTTCTTCCCATCAATCTTTCCTGAACCACTACAGCGACTATGAGAGCCATACCATATGTTCATATATTGTATCACACATACGTGCCATTTTTGAAATAAATAATATTATCACTATACCGTATGAAAGCGTAGTACGTTTTACGTTAACGCATCAATTTGAACCGTGTTTAGTATTTATGAATAGAAGTCTGGCCACGACTCACGAGTTAATAACGTCTAGTTACTCTTGGTTCATAAACAATTAACTTTTTTATACATTTCTGTTCATATATATAAACAAAGTGTATACGCATATATAATTCTGGCTCTGTTCAGTAACTAGGGGAATTATTTTTGCATTAAATCAACAAGTAACCATGGAGGAGAAATCCCCGGTTAAGGTTATTGATAACTAAGTTGACGGTGAGTTAGTCTTAAAACGAGTCTACAACTGCACAGTGCACCATACAGTGCACCAGTGTGCATTGTGCAGTGAGCACCCACGAGGGAAATGAGTGACTGCGAGTTTTTATTGTTATATTTCTTGTAAAGTCTGACACTACTGGAGTTCGGTACTGGTGTAGTGCTGAACCGAGGGTGATCTGTACTCTGTTGATTGACAGCTGATACGAGAGCTGGAGAGTGATTGACATGTTAGTGGAGTAGTGGTTGTGGGAGAGCTGTGTTAGAGAATGGGATACATTGGTGAACTTCCCCGTAGGTAGGTGTTGTCGTGGACCTGGAAGGATTGTTGTGCTGGATAGTTGACTACACTGGAAGACTGTAAGTGGAATGCATAGCCATGTGAAGTTCCAAGGGTGAGCACAGGGAGAACCGGTCTCCAGGAGATAGCCAGTGTGTCAACTGTAGTGAGGATCCGGTTGGATATGCCACATAGTTTGTTCTGGCGGATATGCCAATTGTGGTGCCGCCGGCGCATGATACATTCTTTGTAGAACACGGCCAGCCCCTTGGTCCACCGTCCTGGGGGTGTTCTCTCATCGGCCTGCTTACTAGCGATTGACATGTCCCGCTTCAGTATCTACCGCGTGCGTTCTGGCAGCGTTTGGGGTTTGCGTCAAAACCGTATATTGTCCGGAACTTCATGGGTCCGACGATACCGTGTTTGGTAGTTATTACCCGGGCTCATGCACGAGCGTTGCCGTCGTCCGATACTGGTTCCACGGATGGCGACTGTTTACGGCAACATATTAAAGTGTGCGGTTACTGATGGCCTGGAGGGTGAGGACAAACGTCGTATGGAGTCTGCTGCTCCGCGCTTTGCACGCATCATGGCCGGTTGTGAGCCGTTAGACGTCGAGCCACGAGAGCCCGCTGTAGTTGAGGTCCGGGGGAATCCGTGTGACTGCCTGCGTAGGATTTGGAGCAGCCGGTGGACGATTCTCTAGCAGGGAAGGAAGCCTGGCCAGCCTCAGGTATTTACTACCGGTGTGTAATCTCATGTTTTCGATATCTTACAGCCGAATCTGGAGGGACCTGTTTGTGGGGGGCCGGTTCCTGGCATGTTGGAGGATGATGATCCGTCCGACTTGGTCCTGGATGGTTCTGCTACTATCTCGAGCGTCGATGATATGGTATGCGGTGACCCCGCAATGCGGGACGATGTAACGGCCAGCACAGGGACAACCCCTGGGGGTACTCTGATGTGTGATGATAGTGGTTGGAACAAGGCGTCCAGTAATACCGAAGCCAATATAGGGCCTGCCGTCGAGGGCATTACATGGTTGTCATCTGGGAGGAATGTGAACACAACGTGTAGTGGTCTGCAGGATACGAGTGGTTGGTCTAAAAGACATAGTGAGATGTCAGATCGTGGGTTAGTCGCGCCTAAGGGTGTGGTCGATAGTGTAGATGATTCGCTCGGCGCGTGCAAAGAGCATATATCTAAGATGTGTTGGCAGCAACGCATGGCACAGCGGGAAGTTGAGGAAGGAGCCCCAGGGGGGTATTGATGATGGTGAGGAATTGCCAGAAGCTATAATGGATGCTCATGAGTGGTCCGAACAACAGTTGGCTGCTTTGCAGCAGGCCCAAGAGTTCCACCGGCATCAGGATGGACCAGAAGCCACTGATTCTGTAATAGCCGGACCTTTACATTAGACTCTATGTTATAAACGAACTCTTAAGCAGTACGCAAAATATAAAAGTACTCTAAATAGTACGAGGAACTTAAGTTTCCTAAATGGTTTTTAACGGTTTTATTAATTAATACCTTTTCCATTTTACATATTAGATAATTGGGCAAGGCCATTAAAAGGCCCCAGTAAAATACCAAACATAAGATTTGGTCTCGTTCTATTAATAGAATTATATTTACTTTCCAAATCTATTTGTATCTGAATACTTCGGTAGCGAGATGGCTCAACCGAATATAGGTTTCTAGGGACTATTAGCGTTACCTAGTTTAACCTCCGATCAGCCAACCAGATGTGCCAGTCTGATGAAGGCTAAGTCGGTAATTCTTGATAAGTGGAAAGTTATTGGTTAAGATAATAACCAAAAAAACATCAAGAGTATTTTCTTTTTCTTTTTATTATTTTTTTCTAAAGATAGGATTTTATGAGTCTCTCGAATTCGCTCTAACGAAAAATACCATAGTTTCTAATAGAGCGACAACGAAACACTAAATAAAATCTCTTCGGTGGAAACAGTACCGAGAGGATTATATATAGGCAATGTCTCAGCCTCACAATCCTCAGAGTTTTGCTGTTTTCACGAGGCATACCTAACTTTACTAAAAGTCTCATTTCGTTTATTTACTTTGATATTTTCACGATACTTGGAATTTATCTACGCGTATATTTACTCTCTAAGGCGTTAATATCGCCTTAATAGATCGAATCTTACAATTCTCAGGAGTCGCAAGATGTATAGCCCAGGTCTCACACTACAGAGTAGAGGATAATGGGCCAGCGGTTTTGGTAACGTTCAAACGGGTTGATGTGCCGCGGCCGAAGCGCCCGCCGCCGCGTTCCTTGCCGGCTGTTTTGGACACGTTGGCCAGGATCGACACTTGGAAGCGAGGAGTCAGGGTTCAGCCGCAGGCAGTACTGAATGCTTGTTACATTATCGGTACACGTGTGCACGGCCGGAGCGACTACGAGGCCTTTTACAGGACAAGTTGGGAAGGAATATCCCAAAGAATTTGTTAGCAGACATTGTTGATACGTGTACTACGTGTATCGTTCGTCGAGGAGCGTCCGTTGGTATGAGACAAGGGCTTCTCTGCCAGCCTCCGCACGCGAGAGCTTTTGGAGCCGCATGGAATTTGGATTGCTATTATCATGCGCCCAATCCCGATGGATATAACTTCATATTGTTGGGCATCTGTCGCATGTCTCGAATGGCGGTCAGCTGACCGATGCGACGGCATGGGCACACTTATGAGGAGGCTAAACGGCTTGTTGAACAACAGATCATACCGTGGGGTTGGCCTCGACAACTGATTGTTGATGAGGATAGCCCTTTGATGTGCACAGCGGAATATACGAGTTCATCCAGTGCATAATGGTCGGTACCAGGGCAACTGTTTAGTGGTGACCTTGTGCAGAACTTGCAACCGATGGTTATCACGGTTTTTTGCTAGAAGGATAGGAAGCCTTTTGGCCAGATGCGGTGGCGGAATTCATCTTTGCTTACAACTCGACTCGGTCGTCTACTACAGGGATGGTGCCTTATACCCTGGCAGCCAACGGTCGGGTGTTCTCTCATCACGCCGATGTTGAGCTTGTAGATGTTTTACGCACGGACTTTGGTGACTTGGCTACCCCAGAGTTGTTGGAGCTTGAACCGACTGAGTTAGTTAAGGCGATGGATGACAAGGCCCAGTTGGCCCAAGCGCGAGCCGCTAATAAGTGGCGAGCGGACGTACCCATGTTCAACGTAGGACGTGTAGTCATGTTCCGTCCTGCGAAGACCCCACACAAGTCCCAAGCGGAACGTATGGGTCTGGCGGATGTGGTGGCGTTGGATCCGCCGGTATATCATATCGTACGAATGATATTGCCCATATGCGGGCGTATTGTATACCGATTGATGAGCCGGGGCGTGGGAATGTCACAACGTTGTCTCTCGGGCACAGTCTATACCAAATGGCTTATGTACGAAAGCCCATTTAAGGACGCAGATGGCAAGGAGCGACAGGAGGTAGTTCAGACTTTTACAGCCTGTGCTGATGCAGCTCCCTATCAGAATGGCATCAATACGGGCATTAATACGTATTGGCATCGCTGGGTTGCGCTCACCCATATTCATCAACATGAGCGTAAGGAATCCTTTGAGGAGAGAGATGCGGAGCTGGTAGCTCAGCATATTGGTGTAAGATTTGTGCCTGCATGGCGGAGTGCTATTTCCAGGGGATATCGATTCGCGTTAGGTCCGGTATATTGTAGGAGAAAACTTCTTCGATGAGGAGTTCGTTTAGAGAATCGGGTTCGCCAGGGTTAGATGGCTCAATGTACCGTCATTTTATATACATTACCGTACCGTCTACACGAAAGCATGCCAATAGCGGTACGAGTACGATAGGCGAGCTTGAACGAGTCTGTCAACCGGCATATGAACAATATGGGTTATAGGCATGCGTTTATGGGATTGTAACCTCTCATAACGTTTGGGTCTAGTATGTCGGCTCTGAGGATTTCTGATGCACACACACATATATATATGCTTGCATGCATATATACATGCAAACATACAAAATTACAAAACAAAACAAAAAACATAAGTTATGTTTCAGAGTTCTAAACCAAGTGCATCACAGCCCAGTTGGGCGTCTGCATCAGTTGATGAAACCAACGGAGCAGGAAATGCTTATACCCGCCGTTACCGGATACCGGATACAACACATTCGGATCTAAAAACCAGCAAAGAATCTGAAGATTCGTCTGAAATCTTGTTTCTACCTCATGCTAAAGCTTCAAAAGCAAAAGCAAAATCTGCTAAAGCTGTATCAGCGAAAAAGAAAAAAGCTACTAAGACCGATGCTAAGAAAGCACAGTCGAAATAGTCAAGACTTCTACAGTCAGGACTACGACTGATGCTTCTAAAAGCAAAGGTAAGGCCATCAGTTCTTTCAAAAGAACAAACAACAAGAACATTCTTAAAGACAAAGAGACACCTAGATTCAGATCAAGATGTCAGTAAGTAGTAGTTCTTTGGCACAAAGTGTACATTCAAATGTTACCCATATTTCTACCAAAGCATCATCAGGTCACTTAAGTGATTCTGCTATAACTGTAGGAGCTTCTTCAAAGAAGAGACAGCATCTACAGGTTTTGGAACCTATTGCTAAATTGCTGGAAGATATACCTGATCACAGATCTGACTATATTCCAGGATCAGCCAAATATAATGCTGCATGCATAGAATATCACTCTCAAGCGAGAGATGTCTATGAAAGAACTAACCACTACACCCATGCAGAAACAATGCATACTCGCATTGCTTTTCACATGGGTGCTGCTTCAGAGCAAGCAAAGTCCACTGCTGAACACTTACGTGAACGATTATGTACTAGATCTGTCTTTAAGAGGAAACCGGGCAGATTTCTATAACATCTTTACAACGTCTTAGACGTTGTAATTGATACAAGAGAAATGGTCAACTCAACACGTTCTAATAGTGGAATACTATGCAGCATTAACGCATGCATTAGTTCCCGGAAGTAATTAGGAGACTAGTCTGTAAGGAGCCAAAGAAAGGCTGTTAGCAGCCACGACCGCAGACCTTTTCTTTAACATTGTTAAAGAAATAGCTTGCAATGACAAGAGACTACCACTGTTATCTAGTATGCTAGATGGGGTAGTTTAAACGTACCGGTCGAAACATTTGTACACAATTATGACAATCGATTAACACAGCTTTGTAAGCAGAGCTGGGCCAACGGCCAACGCAAGACATTAGAAATAATGTTTATGCCGTGATATACAATCTCATGAATAGAACTTCACGTCAAGAAGGTTCCAAGTGATGAAACACTAAAACCAAGAAACTGTCGACTGATTTAACTGACTTCACGTGGGACATGTTCGTTAAGGCTTTTACAGTCGAAGAATGGACACAGAACCGCTTAATACAGGTAACGAAGAAGTCTTGAAATTTTACTATGCAGCATTAACGCATGCATTAGTTCCCGGAAGTAATGAGGAGACTAGTCTGCAAGGAGCAAAAGGAAGGCTGTTAGCAGCCACGACCGCAGACCTTTTCTTTAACATTGTTAAAGCAATAGCTTGCAATGACAAGAGACTACCCCTGTTATCTAGTATGCTAGATGGGGTAAGTTTAAACGTACCGGTCGAAACATTTGTACACAATTATGACAATCGATTAACACAGCTTTGTAAGCAGAGCTGGGCCAATGGCCAACGCAAGACATTAGAAATAATGTTTAGGCCGTGATATACAATCGTATGAATAGAACTTCACGTCAAGAAGGTTACAAGTGCTGAAACACTAAAACCAAAAAACTGTCGACTGATTTAACTGTCTTCACGTGGGACATGTTCGTTAAGGCTTTTACAGTCGAAGAACGAACACATAACCGTTTAGTGCAGGTAACGAAGAAGTCTTGAAGTTTCACAACTAAGCATGCATTGTGTGTTGAATGAGATAGCGTCTTACACCAAAATATGCCTAAACATAACTTTTTTTGGTATACATAAGGACACTTGCAAATACGCTTTAGAGTGTACATCGTTTAAGAAGACGCATGGAATGCATGCTCTATCTTGCACTGCTATTCCAAGAAGACCAATAAAGAAGTGGCCTTCAAGGACGATCTCAAGGGAACTTCTCACCAATGATACCACGCGGCGACGGTAAATCAGATAACGTCTAAAGACGACGAACGTGTTATAGTACCAGTTTTCGTAACCGGAATAAAGGCTGGTTAATGCTTTACTTGATCCTGGTTCTCAAATATCTTGTATCTCTCATCGTGTAACACTTATGTGTGACATAGAAACCTATTTAGAGATTACGCATATTATTATGCCTAATGAGAAAGAACTTGTATGTTATGTGAAAGCCAATGATATAAATATCACATTGTTAGATCATCGAATGGTTCAGACCGATCTAGTAGTACTAGATATGTTTAATCAATATGATTGTATCATTGGTATGGGTGACTTATTATCTTTTGGGATAACCCTTACGGGCCTACCAAATGAAGTAATTCCTATAAAGGACCAATCCGACGATTATATATTAAGCCCACCGTCGCCACCAAATGATAAGATTAAGAAAATAATCCTTGATCTTGTTAAAAATAGTACTAGTTTGGATTGTTACCAATCGAGCTATTAAGATAACCCAATGAGCTAAATTTAAATTTAACAATGGTTATGTTAGTTTAGACTTGTCAAGAGTGGTCTTTACAAGGTCAAAGACTCCATCACGTAACTATCTCTTTTATAGACACATGAAACCTGTTTCAAACCATGATTTCTCAATGGTTAGAAGATGGTGTGATAGAAGTTAACTTCGAACCAACACCTTCTAACTTGGCGCTGTTAGCAGTCGACCAATTAGTTCTGATGAGTCCTTTAAGAAGGTCAGAGTTTGTTTGGACATGAATCCTATTAATAAGATCATGCCCACTCATAACTTTCAACTACCTCGTATAAACTAGTTGCTTAAATCACTGGGAGGGGCAACTGTCTGTTCAAAGATAGACCTAACTCAAGGTCATCATCAGTTAAAGATCATTAAGGAACACCGTAAGTACTTTTCACTTGCATGGAAAGAAAATCAATATATGTTCAGAGGAGCACCATTTGGGTTCCATATGCTTCCTGCATTCTTTCAGCAGATCATGAAAGATTTGTTTGAGGATATGCCTCAAGCAAAAGTTTACTTGGATGATAATATTATCTTCACGGCAACTAAGGAAGGACATGAACACGTCTTAAGACAAGTCCTCGCACGCTTGAATGAACAAGAAGAAGTGTGAATGGGGTGTAAGTAAGGTACATTTACTTGGATACCTTATTTCAGGTGAAGGTATAGAAATTACCCCGGTAAAGTGAATCAACTTCTAGACTGGAGAACCCCTACAACCAAAAATAAAAAACGTTAACAGCCTTTGCGGGGTTGTAAATTTCTTCATAGATGGGGTCCCTCACCTGTCGGACTTATTAAAGCCCTTTAGTCACCTACGTTGACATAAAGGTAAACCAGGAGACTTATGGACAGCACAATGTGAGGAGGCTTTACGTAAAGTAAAGACTACCGTTCAAGCTGCACCAGTGATGCGACGTCATATTGACGGTATACCGTTTAAAATAGCGACTGATGCATCGGATAATTCTGTAGAAGGAGTACTACATCAAGTTGCTGAGAACAAACCTAGATATGTACAGTTCTTTAGCAAGAGCTTAAATGCTTCACAGTGAAAGCAGGAGTTGTTAGCAGTTGTATCTGCTTTAGAGTTCTTTAAATACTATTTATATGGCACACACTTTAAAGTGACATGTGGCCAGAAGTCTTTAAAATATTTAATGATATGAAACTACACAATCAACTGGTAAGTAAATGGCATGACCGTCTATTTCAGTTCTCTTTTACAACAAATCATATACCAGTTGTGTACAATCACTTACCAGACATGTTGACTCGTCTGTTACCAGACTATCAGAAGACTGTCCGCGAGTTGTTAGCAACTGATTGAAAGTTGAGCCCTCGATTCTTTCGGTTAGCTGAAAAGAGATGGCGTAAACATACAATTGATATGTTTGCAGTATTACATAATGCACAACTTCCGGATTATAGATCCCCAAATCACCCAAAGGGTGACGCGTTTGAAATTAATCTCAGGCAACATAACGCATGGGCAAACCCGCTTTGGAAATCAATCCGGCAATTGCTCAATTATGTTAACATAGTGAACGCCACCATCACTCTGTGTTGTCCTTTTCGTAAATCTGATCCCTGGTTCCAAGAATTAGTGAATATGGTACAGCACGAACCAATTTACTTGGATCGAGAGGTTGACACCTTTCTGTATATGGGTACCCGGGCGATCAAAAGACGCCCTAGCGCCATACATAATTTGTCGTATTGGCCCAAAAAGAACTTTTACCTGGAAGCCTTCAGTGGACTTTCAGCGTAGGGTAGATGAATCTGCCAATCCCCTTAACCATATGAATAGTGAAATTATTTATAAACCTGTATTTAAAAATACAGAAACACAGAATGATATTCAGTCTTCAGAGACAACGCAAACTTTTCACGAAGTATTTGCATCTACATTACCTGAGAGTAGAGCTAAAGTTATAATTCTTGTACGAAAGATGCGACCGAAGAAGCTCATACTAGAATCATATCATCTTTAAGATATATATGCTTGAAGTTTATGATCAACTTATGAAGTTGACTGACTTAAGTCAAGCTTACGGGCACGATTCTAGCAGTATAAATATCGGTAATCCATTAAAGGATAAAGCCCAACATGAAGATAAAAATAAGCCTATATATCTATCAAAGCTTCTACTCCTCAATATCTCCTGAGGAGCCTAAAATTCAAGGGGAACTCTCTCAAGAGTTCAAACTCAGAAACTTCATCGAATACGTCAGATGCTGATAAACTTAAGTGAATCAAGCAATATCATAACTTGCCGCATTCAGCAGTAGATGATATGATTGTAGAAGCGAAGCGCAGAGGTCTGATCAACCTTAATCTGTGTAAAATCTGCAAGCAAGAATACTTTAAGTGTGTTGATTGCGAAATCAAGTGCTATGGTTGGGCCCCACTTAAGTAGGTGCTCGAAGAGGTCGAAGAGCAACCAATGCGCAGGGTCAACATTGATTTGGTTGTAATGGATGCAGAAGAACGACATGATGAAAAGTATGTTTTTCAGTTTGATGTAGCCTCCAGAAATAACTTGTTTTATCCTGTCAGGAATAACCTACTTAAAACAATGGCGGAATTATGCTTACGCATCTTTACCGATCACCGCTACCCATTATTCCTGTCATGATATTGCGGCGAGTTTATAAGCGAAATAATGATGGCTTTTGAACTCGTATCTGGCATACGTGAAAAACGGGGAGTTCCCTATAAGCCACAAATGCAAGGTACCAATGAAGTCAGACATGGGAAACTTAATTTCTTACTAAGGACTGCACTAAAGATAATGCTAGTGATTGGCCTTATCGTTTGACATGGGTACAATATCAAATGAACGAAGCATCTGATCCTGTAACCGGCGTAACCCCCGCCACACTGTTTCCGTGGTAGAAAAGTGTATTGCAACCTCTTGTAGAAGGGGTACCTGGAGAGGTACAGTCACTTAAGTGGTTGGAAAGATTAGACAGAGTACTTAAGGTTGTATGCCCTTTACTGAAAGAAAAGCGAAACACTGCACCTTTAAAAGCGCAAGGTCGCTGGTCTCGTAAGAAGAAACATGTTTTCTTCAAGAAAGGTGATTATGTTAACATAATACAGAGAAATTCGGATACTGGTAAGTTACATTCTTACTATATAGGTCTTTTTTATGATCTCCGTTCACGACAAAAAGTCTAATACCTACGAGATTAATAATGTAGATGGTACAAGCGTACTTAATGTGGACTTATCTCGTATACCGAGTGACCAAATAATACTATATCAAACTTATGATGATACTACACCCGTTGAACAACATGAGTTCAAGAAAGTAATAGGTAAAGAATCCGTTAACGGAATCACTTATTATAAAACATTGTTTCATGACAATGAGGTTTATAACCTTACGTCTTCTGACTTTGGAAACCCTGATTACTTAAAAAGTATCAATAAGAAATAGCGTAAGCGCCTTCATAAAAACCAGGAAGATAGAGACAAGCTCTTTCCTCAAACAGATAAGATTATTATACACTCTTGTCCTGGTCTTGAGTTCTGGTCTTCTCTTTTAGAGATAAACTTCCAAAATCTATGACACGTAAGCTTGTACACCAACAAACGGGTGGAACTAGGAATACCAAGCGAACAAGGATGGACTCACACACGTGAGGAGTATTTGCATACTATGATATTTTAGAATATTACAAGTATTTATATACTTTGCTACCTTAGGTTTTACACCGCACTTGCTTCCTTTCTCGCTCTTTCTCCACGATGGTACCCAGGCAGTACTATATTTGATGGCTTAGAGCTGGGGGGGGGGGGCTATGATATCATAGCAAGTCCTAGAGTAAAGTCATATACATTATTGTATTAAGATATTACTATCTGATAAATCTAGCATAGTCTTATGTAAAGATTTTTACTATGTATTACTACTAATACATATATTACATATAACTTAAGTTATATATGATAAATAGTTTTCCTTTATAAAATACCATACGAGATGACTCATAGTATAAAGGTTGAAGGTCATTTGAGTTAATCTTTTTAAAAAAGATAAACAAAGATATTTATAAACTAATAAGAATATTTTAGTTTTTACAAACTAAAATATTCAATTATGAATAACACCAACCTCAGGCCGACCCCTAGAAGGGACTTACCACACCAACCCGGGGACGGACTGTCTATTTTTATATGTATGTATATATATTTTTCTTAAGTGGCCATTTCAATTTAATTCAGGTTGAAGGTTATTTGAGTTAATCTTTTAAAAGATAAACAAAGGTTTTTATAAACTAATAATTAATATACTTGGTTTTTACAAACTAAAATATTTAATTATGAATAACACCAACCTCAGGCCGACCCCTAGTAGGGACTTACCACACCAACCTGGGCACAGACTGTCTATTTTTATATGTATATATTTCTATTTCTTAAGTGGCCATTTCAATTTAATTCTAAAATTATTAATTGGATGATTCTATTTATATTAGAAATTAATATTTCTTTTAGAAAAAAAAGATATATCAGAAAGGCGCCAAATGTGCCAACCGTCCATTGAGCCCCTTTCTTAAATTTTCACCGATTTTCTTTCCGATGAGGAATGGTGATTTAATCCAGCATGTGATTGAACAGGGTCATATTTACTACCAATTGAAAGAGGATATCAATACAAGAACGTCGGTACCTTGAAGTAGCTAGTACGATGTCTATGAGGGTGCCTATAAAGTAAATCAGAGAGCTGGCTACGCGATGGCTACGCGGTGACTACGATGGCTACGTGATGGCTTCGTATTTGCTACTTATTGGCTACGCTGTGGCTTCATTTTGGGGTTTTTTTTAAAACTTTTTTCTCCACAAATCACGTTGAAAATATTGTTCATGTGTTACTTTCACCGTTAAGCTAGCTTTCGAACTAAGATAGCTACGGTATAACTTCCAACGGGAAAAAGTCTTTTAAATGCCCGAACTGAACTTCCCTACCCTTCGATTGCTTGATATGATTGATTGGTTTTAGGCCTGAGAGTGACTGAGACTCGGCGGCATATAAAAGTCGGGTGCCCCCTGACTGATGCCTCAGTCTTTTACTTGTTACTTTTTGAAGAGCCTGTTTCGTGATGAAAAAGAATACTCCGGTACAAATGACCCAGAATACGTATACGATGAGAAAAGTTGATTTAACCCGGCTAATCATATATGAAGCAAATACCACGAAAGCCTATGATAAGGTTCTCAAGTCAAAGGAGAAAACAACTACGGGAGCCAATCAATTCGTGGCTTTGCTGATGCACTAGGTAGGACCTGAGGTTGAGTATAAGCTATAGTCCAAGATCACTAATAAAACTACGGTGATGAGGGCCGAACAAAACATCATCAGAATATTTGCCCCATGCGCCACTATGTTCAATAGAGGACAGAGTGTCCAAGTCCAAAGATGGGCAACCAGACTATGAGGTGACTGGTACTATCTACATAAGTAGAGACATGAGATGGTGTTGGAATTGTCTTTGGAGTTCGAGTGACTGTGCTGCAAGTTTCACTTGAAGTGATCAAGGAAGAGAATGAATTTTCGAGCCTGACAACATATAAGTCTGGAGTTGACAATGGTCCTCGGATAGTGCTCACGGGTCCAGAAAACAGTCTTCGGGTGGAGTTCATGACGATGAGATGACTTATCCACTAAGGCTATACGCGATAAGAGGTGACTGGTACTATCTACATAAGTAGAGACATGAGATGATGTTGGAAATGTCTTTCGAGTTCGAGCGACTGTGCTGCAACTTTCACTTGAAGTGATCAAAGAAGAGAATGAATTTTCGAGCCTGACAATATATGAGTCTGGAGTTGACAATGGTCCTCGGATAGTGCTTACGGGTCCAGAAAACAGTCTTCGGGTGGAGTTCATGACGATGAGATGACTTATCCACAAAGGCTATACTCGATAAGAGAGGCACGGACGGAAGCGGCAGCTGAAGCGAGTAAAACAAAGGACAGTGAAGAGGCACTAAGTGAGGTAGCGAAGAATCATATTGCAGCGCTTGATGCAGCTCTTGAGAAGGTCACTGCAGACTCACAGCGGATAATCGACACGTACGAGTTGAATAGGCCGATTGAGATAGAGCCAGAGGAAAGCATCTACCAAAACATACAACGTATTAGATTTTTTTCTCGGTTACAGCGCCCAGAAATGGCTTGCTCCTTTACTCACCGAATCATTGATGGAGAGCCCAATATATGTGGTAATACAGTTGAGAAGGCGTGAACTCGAGGGAGCAATCGCTGACTTCGATAGGTTAGTATTGTACATGTTCTCAACATGTTTGGAAGGGAATGCTAGACAGGCCTTCATTGTTTTTTTTCACTATAGGCGGTGGGTACGCAGCATTAGCATTTGTGGTCAGAATGCGGTATAAGGCGAAAGACACCAAAGCGGCTGGGAAACGCAACCATGAAAGGGGAAAAATCAAGAGTGATAAAGCTGATCGTGGTCGACGAGAAGGATCAGCACGGTCTACAGGTTCAAACAGACGGTAGAGATAGATTGAACGAACGACGACGAGCGGACTGGCACGGGACTACAGCGAGAGAATAGATCACGATCACCGGGGTACAGCAACGACGGTCGAAGTAGGTCTAAGTCGCCCGGTAAGGTGGGTTCCGTGCTGCCTAACTTGAAGTATTTCTATTCGGTGGGAATCAATATCGTGCCAATTGCCCGATGCAGGACAAAGAGAATCCCTCGGAAGCTGCTGCATAGGTACAGAAATCGAATGCCCCACCAAATCGTGACCGACTAGCAGACACCAAAATAAGACCTACGGTTGACGGTACTGTTGGTGGGACCACTGTGTCATTGCACTGCGACACTGGGTCCTTCCCATCTTTGGTGCACACACAGGTCGTTGAAGCGGAGGCACTGCAGAAGATTAAAATCCCGAGAGGTGTCTTCGAGGCGTATGTCGGAACGTTGAGCTTGTTTCCCGAGTACGGGGTGTATGCAACTGTACGGTTAGATATTTACAATATTCATACAGAGCAAGAATGCTCGTTGATCACTGACAGTATTTTATTCTATGTGGTTGGACCATTCTCATGAAGAAAGAGACGATTTTAGGGCTTCATGGTGCTGAGCGACAATTTTGCGGAGCGACAATCACATACAGTACATATTCTTACGGCTACGTTAGTATACATGACGCCGGAAACAATCTACAATATGTAATTTATATTCCCTTTCAGGAACAAGATATAAAGGAGATGGATACGACATCACACCCCTGTAATTTATTTTTTGCAAAAGAGTTGAGATTCGCAGCAGACAAAATATAGAGCATGAAGCATCACTGGATACAATGTGCCCACCGTGAGGACTAGTCTCATGCATTTTCCAAGAACCCTGGCCTCCATATCCCGACCAGAGCAGATGTCATCCCGTCCCGAGTATCTTTAAATATCGAGACAGTTTACGGCGAGATGTTGATGCGCGAAAGATAGAGAAAGAGATGGTCCGCGGAATCATACGCAATAGTAAGGATGAAGGCCAGTGACTCGCATCGTATATTCTTGCCGAAAAGGTAAAGAAGGCAGCTCAACGGACAGACGCCGACTACCGCATGTGACATGCGTACGTCGGCCTTGATCGTTGGTCCATTCCAGACCACTCCAACATGCCTAGTAGGAAGAGCTTTGGGTACGTAATGCTTGGAGGAACGACGATAGCAGATAATTCTAATGACTTTAACCAGTGTACGATCGCGGAAGAGGGTCGGCACAAAATGTGTTCATTGCCAGCAATGGTGAGGTATATGAACGTACTGGGGCGTGTTTCGGATTGTAGGTTGTACCAGCCCAATATGCACAGCGTAAAGAGTACATTTTTGTTTCGTCGAAGGGTTCATGTGCTTCGTGGATGACGCTGCAACATGTACGGCTAAGAAGAGGACGACGACGACGATAGACTACAGACATACGACGATAGACTACAGACATACGACGAAATTGGGATGGGCAACAGCCTTGACCAGGACTTGTTCACTTCCGCGAGCGCAGGTTCCATGGGGGTTGTGACGTTGGGTGATAGTAAGATGCTGAGTGTAGGGCAATGACAGATGTCCTTTCAAAGACGAGCGGCGGTGACGACACTAACTCCTTCGAAACATCTGGCGGACCTCCAACACTGGCAGTGTTTGTGGCAACTGGTACGGACCGCGATCAATGCGACCAAGTCTCAGCTCGTGGTCCCAAAGGGTGTTTTCAAGATGTTTTAACATGCAGAGTATCGTCAGCCTTGGCATACCCACTGACAAGGACGAACTCTTAACCGTCTGCATGAAGGTGTGGTGGAGTTTCAGCATCCCGGGCCTTAATGCTATGCTAGTTCCACTAACAAATCAAACAAAGAATAACGTGAAATTCGATATGAACGCTAAGTGTAGTTAAACGTCGAATAACAATATCTCAATGATAGAGGGATACGTTGTTCATTTATTCATAAAACCTTAATCAACGAATCTAATTACTTGTGAGTCATGAGCCGATCTAAACCCCTGAACGGTACAAACTAAGTTTACAGATTCTGATATTATAAACTAAAATAACCCAAACTAAAATAACACTAATAACCCTGTCTGGGTGAACACTGATATCCCCGTCTGGGTGTATTCCTACCACAACCCCCCCAAACTGAAGCACTACCTACTAGTACCTACTAGTGTGCCAGCTTTAGAGAAAAGGAAAAACAATACTCATACCCTGACCGACATGCTGGCATATATCATCAGAGAGCTAGAGTAGTGTGCTGGCATTTAACATCAGAGAGATAGAGGGATCAAAGTATACGTCTTGAGCGCACCGTCGTTCATAACATATAAGTAACTATATACAGGTAAAAGTCTAAATATGGTCGTGGCGTCGTTTGCGCGTACGCGTCCGCGGGCTCTTTTGGTAGGTGACAATGTCGTTGGGTTCGGTGAAAGCCTCGGCTGTCTCCCACTTGGGGTCGTCCTCGTGCTATTGCACCAAGATTTCAAGGTTGCCTGTCTCATTGTTCGTACAATGATTAGTAATATGGCGGAACTCAACTCAGCCTTCTGCCCATAAGGTATAATCAAGTGGTGGGTCTGTACTACGATGTAAAACCGGAGGAGTTCAACACGGACTGGCTTGTCTTTAAATTCTGATGGTGCGGACCCGTCTTTGTTTGCTAACTCGTAGTGTTGCCCGATTCTAGTCTTGATAACATATGGACCAAAGAGAGAACGCATTGCTTTCGTTGTTCTGCCTTCCGAGCGCACCATCACTACGTCGCCTTCATCGAAGTGTACCAAGTCGTGGGCATGGAGACGGTCGAAAGTCTTCGTTAGCTTGCCCGTATACCTTTTGGTATTATGGTAATGCGTTGGTAAGATGGTATCCTGCATCTCGTCTAATCGTTGCGCCCATGTATCGTTAGTCACTGGTTGTGATTCCGGTGACGCATCAGTAAAGTCTGCAATCGGTACCTGCCTGCGTCCAAAGTACACGCTAAAGGGTGCACTCTTGTGTCTGCGGGAGATACGGGGGTTCAGATAGAGCATCGTGAACGAAAGGCGTTCATCCCATTGAAGTGGTACTGTCTCACAGCATTGCCGTATTGATCGTGTAATGTCCTTGTGACGACTCTCGGCTGCCCCTAAGACCTGTGGGCGATATTGGGGTAATACTTTGTGTAGCATGCCCACTTCCTGCACCAGGATGTCCACTATTTTGTTTGTAAACTCTTAGTGACATGTCGGTTTGTAGTCGTCGTGGGAAACCGTGGTCATCGAAATTCTCTAACATTGTCTGTACCGTGGTCGCCTTTAACTTGTCTGGTGTTACACGTAGAATCGAATAGCTAGTGGCAATGTCCAACACATGGAGAATATACTTGTTCTTCCTCCGCGATCCGATCGGCATAGGGTGTAGTCCATCTGGATATGATGCCAAGGTTAGCGTGCGTCGATGCTAATCATCGGGTAGAAGCCCTTGCGTAGTGTATCCTGATCTAAACATGTACTGCGCTGTCGCTTATCCATTGTCGCCAGTTCTAGTGTGCCCAGCCACACATGTCCATCGCTGCGAAGCTGTTGTACCGTATTGGCTGCCCCGTGATGGCCTTGCTCGTGCTGTACTCGTGTCAGTTATGTGCGCCAAAGCTCTTCCTCCGGCGTTGCTTGTGCAATTGCAGCTTGACCTTCAGCTTCAGCCATGGCGACCGATATCTCTCGTGCTGTGTCTAAATATTTCGCATACGGTATGTGGCGTAGCTCTGCGTAACCCAGTCGCTGTGAGAAGTGGGGGTCTAGCTTGAAATTATTGGATGGAACTAGTCTCGCTATCACTGTATAACCCCAAGGTGTCTTGCCTCACGCATACTTGCCAAACTTCAGGAATGTATGTAGTGTTCTAGGTACCAGTACCGGTTCAGCTTGAACTAGCTGCTTGAGTAAGTCGAACCATGGCGCCCGTGGTACCCAAGATTGACCCACTAACGACCAGTCGTGCTTAAACGCCCCTTCTTTGTCATCTATGGTCCAGAATCGAGGCAGTTGTGCGTTCTGTGGGTCCGCAAACACATCTACATTATTTGGACCAAAAATCTGTTGTGCTTGTTTGAAGTAGCTAGGAACCAGCTTCCAACAATCTGTGTACTGGGGTTCGTCACACTCTGCCCTACCATCATGCACCCTACTCAACATATATGGTAGGATATTCTTCTCCCCCGGGGATGTGGGAAATCGTAAAGTTGAACGGCGCGATGATGTGGTGCCATCGCTGTAGCATAGGGTTAAGCTTGAGTTGTGTTTAAGTTGTGTGTTCATGTACACTAGCGCTTTATGATCTGCAAAGACCGCAAACCGTTGCCCGTCCCGATGGTCTCGAAAGTGCGTTAGACCATACACGAGTGCGAGTAGTTCCTTCATTGGTGTAGAGTAGTTATGTTGTGTATGGTTCAATGTCTTGCTGAAGAACATCAGGTAGTGTTTCTTGCTGTGGACCCATTGGAACAATGCTCCGCATATACCGTAATCACTGGCGCCGGTCTCTAAATTCAGTGGTACTCCTTCTATCGAAAAATATAGCCACTACATTTACCACCGCCTCCTTCAATGCATGCCACGCGTCGGCAAGTCGGTGTTCCCACTGTTCATCAATTAGCTCATTCGGGTTGAGTATGCAGAACTTCCGTAGCGGTGCTACAATCTGGGCAAAGTTGAGGAGGTGCTCGTGAAGATAGTTCGCTAAGCCTAACGCTGACGCTGTGTCCTTGTAACGTTGTGGGGTTGGCCAATCTAGCAGCTTTGCCTGTTTCTCATAATCCACATCGATGCTTTGCGCTGATACCTTATTACCCAGTATCATTACCTCCGCAATTGCAATCACTATATCATCGATGTAGTGATGTACTGGTAGTCCGTCCAGGATCGTGCTCAATGCACGATGGAACTGCTGTGTTGGTACATGTAGGCCGATTAGTGCCGACGTAAAAGAATACTGGTAGCGTTCATGTGTGA